TGAGATTCATACTTGTTTTGAACACAAATATTATATTAACGTCAATACTAGTAAATACTACTACTGTGACGTCATATTGGCTCCAAGAATGGTCATAGTTCTTGCCCGATGCGGAGACTGGCACGATAAGGCGCGCGGGTGGCCCCTAAATAAAGGTATTGTGGAGCACAAGTGTATATACGAGGGTGGTACGGATACGCTACACAATAATCTCACTTGAGACGTATAGCCAAAATTTCCAAAATTCTCCCCCCTAACTTTCCGGATTTCCAAAATTTCCAAAATGGCCCGACCTAGTAGACAGGATTTTTCCAACATATAAGGCGGACTCGGGAAATCCGGAAAGTTAGGGGTGAGAATTTTGGAAATTTTGGAATTGATTGTTTGACTATTTGACGCCCTATTTATTTTATTTGTGATTAGATAGAATATAAATAATTGAAATAGTTTAAATCAGCAGGGTCGATTTCAATTATTTGGGCCACCCCAAATAATTGAAATACCTGGAAAACTTGAAATCGGTGGGGTTTGTGGCCCAACCCCCGAGCCCCAAGATTTCAATTAATGGAAATGTTCGAAATAATTGAAATCATTTCAACTATTTCAATTATTTCAAGTATTTGGGGAGGCCAAATAATTGAAATACTTGAAATACTTGAAATCATCCCCGTTTTATTTATTTCAACTATTTCAATTAATTCAATTCCTGGGGTTCTGTGGCTTGGGCCCACGGATCCCCAGGATTTCAGTTATTTCAGCTACATAGGTCAACCCAAATAATTGAAATAATTGAAAACGGTGGCGTTTGTGGTCCAGCCCCCGAAACCCACGATTTCAATAGTGAAAGAATTGAAATTCATTCAATTTCTTGGGTTTTGTGGCTTGGTTGGGCCCATGAATCCCCAAAAATTCAATTATTTCAATTATTTGGCCAACCCACATAACTGAATTAACTGAAAACGGTGGGGTTTGTGGTCCAGCCTTCGAAACCCACGATTGAAATACTTGAACTAATTGAAATCATTTCAAGTATTTCAATTATTTGGGGAGGCCAAATTTTTAAAGATTTAGAATCAGTTCAAGTATTTTAATTGTTTTAATTATTTGGGAAAAGCCCAATAATTGAAATAGTCGAAAAAACTAAATCAACACCATTTCAATTATTTCAATTGATTGAAATCGCGGGGTTTGGGGGGTAGGCCCATGAACCCCAGGATTTCAATTATTTCAATTATTCCAGTTATTTGGGCCACCCATATGATCAATTAATTGAAAATCGGTGGGAATAGTGCCGCAACCCCGAACCCCACGATTTCAATTAATTGAAATAATTGACATAACTGAAATCGTTTGAATTATTTCAATTATTTCACTTGTTTGGGAAGGCCAAATAATTGAAATGATTGAAATCACCCCCATTCCAATTATTTCAATTAATTGAAACCGTGGGGTTTGGGGGGTAGGCCCACGAACCCCCAGGATTTCAATTATTTCCATGATTTGGGCCACCCAAATAATTGAAATAATTGAAATTATTGAAATCGGTGGGAATAGTGCCGCAACCCCCGAACCGCACGCAATTAATGGAAATAATTGAAATAATTGAGATCATTTGAATTATTTGAATTGTTTGGGAAGGCAAAATAATTGAAATAATTGAAATCACACCCATTTCAAATCACACCCATTCAATTATTTCAATTATTTCAAACAATTGAAAT